CGCACCGCACCGTGCGCGGCTCCGCGGGGCGTGTGGGGTCGGACTTCTGCCGTGTGGTTTCAACTGGAGGGGGAAGATCTCCAGGACTGCACCCCTGACTTGTCCCTTTCCCACCTTTTGGAGACCTTGCTGAGCCTTGGTCCTTTGAGTGTTCGTAGGTGAGGCTGTGTCTGCGATAGTAGAGACGCGTGAGTCAAAGAAAAAGGTGTTTCGTGCTGTAGCACGCTTGTGATTTTGCATTTGCAGCTCTGTGCCAGAGCACACAAGGTGTAGTACAAAGATTAGTTACTCCAGGTAGTAGATTTTTAACTTTTATTCCCGCGTAGCCCTTTTCTCTGCTTCGTTCTTCCCATTCTGTGTTCACTGCCGCAGCGATTCTTCCCTGCGTTACCGCCATCATCACCACTGTTGTTGTTTTTAAATAGTATACTTTTTTTAGTGACAGTAACAATTTAAGGCAGACTTTAACTACTGTCGTGGCTCTGATTAAGCCACACAATCGTCAGTAAATTCCCTAGCAAAAATATTTGTACTTGTTTGAAATGGGCTACTTTCATTTCAGAATTACAGTTTTAGGTTTAAAGGTTTGTTTGATAGCTGTACCAGTGACCGCAGAGTGATAACCAGCGAGTGATGGGAGCGGTTTTCCCATTTCCCTTTTCTGCGTTATAGGTGCAGTTGCTGGAAGGCGTGGGAGATGGAGTGTATTACGTTGCTGTTGCCTCTGGCGAGGGGTGGGCAGTGAAATTCTGTAGACCCTGCGTTAGTAACTGATGTTCTGTGTTGTCGGAGTGGGCCTCAGATAACTATCCTGTTCTATGGTATTGGGTGTGTGTTGCATACTCCATCCACTAGGGCAGACGAAGAGAAATGGTCAGTATAAACGTAGGTGAAAATAGGTTTAGCCAAATAAAAATTTCAAATGGAAAAGTTGAAGAAAAATTATCTTAATAGTAATCATTGAAAGTCATGTTATTAAAACTGAAAGTATATCGAGTATTAGAATGAGCTGGGAAAGGTTGATAGTCTCTGACTTATAATGTATTATTGATGAAAGTTGTAGCAAATGACTGTTTTGATTACCGTCAGTTACGTTAAGATTTCAGATTCTTACATAGTATAGAGGATACTTGGAAAAACTAGTGAATGAAAATTACGAATAAGGGTCTGTATTTTGAGTGCCAAAACACATCATAATTCCTGTTTTTCTTGATATGGTCATATGCTTTTGGGGGGATATTTTTTGCTTAAATAAATGGACTTTTAAAAATGATAAAGTTCCATTATAATTTTTCATAAAATTTTTATGTTTTAATTTTTTCTGAAGATGTCTTTTTTATTTTTAAATGAGATAATAGAGCTTCCTTGGTCAGCACCCAGGTTTTTGTATTACCCATAACTAATTTGCCACACAGTATGAAGGAGTTCCAGGTTCAGAATGCGGATTCTAAATATAGTGTATCCATTCATCCACATTTCAGATTTTCTTGCTTACAGGTGGTTTTTAGTTTTTCATTTCCAGAACAGATCTTGGGCTCTATATCTCTTTTGTTTCTTCTTGGAGTATCCTCTGAGACTCCTGGAGGATGTTTTCAGAAACATAGGCATCTTGTTTTTTAAACTGCAGAAATGTCTTGCAAACCGTTATGATTTATTTGGAATTTCGAAAACAGTAAAAGCCATTTTCTTTTAATTATTGTTACTTAATTGCACTGAGAAAGATACAATAATGATTTAATTAAAAATGTTTGGGACCTGGGTGCTGTTTCTACACTTAAGGAATATAATTAAAGCTAGAGAATATGAGACATTAAACCAGTATGTTAGAGTCCAAAAAGGGAGGCATTTCAAGAGTTACAAGGCATTGTGTATAGCTAGGCATAGTAGCACACCCCTGTAGTCCCAGCACTCTGGAAGGGTGAGGCAGGAGGCTTGCAAGTTCTAAACCAGCCTGGGCACCTTACCAACTTAGTGAAAACCTGTCTCAAAAAGTAAAGGGCTGGGGATAGAGCTCAGTGTGAAGGCCATGGTGTCAATCCTCAGTTCTGCAAAAACAAAGACAAGCAAAAAAGGAGTTACAGGGCATTGTATAAACTACCAAATAGTTTTCATAATTACGTTTTAAGCTAGACATTTTTTATTTTTTTATTTTTTATTTTTATTTTTTGGTACCAGGAATCGAACTCAAGACCTTGTGCTTGCCAGACAGGCACTGTGCTGCTCAACTGTATCCCCAGTCCAAGCTAGACATTTTTTAATGGTCAGAAAATTTAAATTTCTATTGCCATTTCTATAATGAAGAGACCGTGTAGAGTCATTGTTAGGATTTTAAAGTATTCCTCAGAAGTTTTAATTTGTGTGGAAAATCTTTATTAGAGAGTTTTGAATGGGATAGAACATGTAGAAAGACCAAATTAAATATTGTAACTCAAAGTTGGTGTGAGATAAGTACATGAAAATGTAAAACTTGACCGTGGAAAATAAATTACAAAGTTTTTAGTTGATAGCGTTTCCTCCAGATGATACGGTTCATACACACTGAGAATAGCCTTTTTGTTTTAGGGTAGCTAAATGCGTATTTCCTGCATTATTTTGGAGGAAGAATGAGTCACTTCTTAGTATTTTTAAAAATATTATTTATATGTTAAAACCAGAAAAATTAATGCATGTTATTTAAGTAGAGGATGTAAAGTACAGTAGTTTAAAAGTGCTGCTTAGGAATTACTTCGAGTTAGGTGGAAGATTGTGTACTTGCTTGGGTCTCAATTGGCTGTTCTGTAAAAGACATAATAATTGCACCTACTTGACAGAGTCCTTGTGAAGAACTGAGGTAATACACTTCCCCAGGGCTTGGTGCATTGTGTAGTAAGTACTAACAAGTGCACATTTGTTGGACACAGGCCTTAGTTTGATGAGCTAGTTCCACTACTTTTGTGGTTAATTCAGTTGTGTGATGCGTCATAAAATGTCAATTATAAGGGCAAAATAACTGTTAAACTTCGAAGTTAACTTTTTCTTACTAATGTCAGCTAATATAATTCTGCTTTTGCCAGTTCCAACTTATACTTGATAGATCTGTTTGTAGGTCTGCTTTGATTCTTGGTATCTGTACAGCAGACCCTTCATGTCTTATACTGTCTATGTCCTTTTTACCAAGTACTTGCAGAACAGTTGTTTTGACCCTTGGTTCTCTTTATGAGGTCTTGACAATAAATCCTAACTAATGAAGCTGGACCAGAATTTGCTGTAGGTGTGAGGAGCAAATGAGGTATGAGGTATTTGGTCTAGGTTTGAGCACTGGGTTGCATTGCTTTGCAGAATAGTACTTCGTAGAATTGTGTCATAACATATGGCTTAACATTTACTAATTTTCCTTGACTCTACCCTAGGTTATCTGTGACTCATTTTTAATGTTTTTTTGTCGTAGTGGTTAAAAATTGACCTTGGTGTCATGTAGCTTAGCCCTAGTTGTCATTCTGTAATGTTGGGTGTAACTTGGCGAGCTTTAGCTCTTGTCCATTGAGAATAGTAGTATCTGCCTAATTGTGATTGTGAGGATTAAATGGTTATAATTCATTGAAGTTGTTTAGAGCAGTGTTCTGCATGATAAACATTTAAAGATTTTAAACATTAAAAAAGCTAACGTAGGGTAGTGGTAAGGACATTGACTATTTTTTTTTTTTTAGTACTGGGAATCGAACTCAGGACCTTGCGCATGCCAGGCAGGTGCTGTGCCGCTGAGCTGTATCCCTGGTTCCTACACAGGAAGAGAGAATGAGATTTTTTTTGGTTCATACTTTAGCCCCACTACTTATAGCGAATAATTTTATCTCCGTAATTCCAGTTTAATATTTGGTATAATTGTAATACAGGATTGTTATAGGAAGTGAATTTTAAATGTGGAGCACAGTTTCTTAGTGTTAGCACTGTTGACATTTTGGCTGGACAGTTCTTTGTTGGAGGATTGTTTTTGTGCAATGCAGTGTACTGTATTTACAGTTGCATGTAGTATGCTTTCCAGTTGTGATAACTGAAAAGTCTCTGAACATGGCCACATGTCCTCTGGCTTACATTTTACCTCTGATTGAGAATTTACTGAGGTAAACTGTGCATAACAGTGCCTGGTGTGAAGTCAGAGCACAGTATGTATTATATTTTATTGTTATTGGTAGTAGTTCATCCATTCATTCCTTCATTTATGGTTTTCAGGGTTTAAACCCAGGGTCTTTGCACTGCGCTACATCCCTCCCCCTTTTTGTAATTCCTAGCCCTTTTAAATTTTTTTAGTTTGAAACAAGGTTATGCTAAGTTGCCCAGGCTGGGCTTGAACTTCTGATCCTCCCTTACTTTGTCTCTCTGCTTGTTGGTATTACAGGCATGAGCTATAATGCACAACATACTTGTATTCTTTGACTGCTACTGACCTCGGAAACTTTTTCACGTTAGCATGTTTAAAGTTGACAGCTTAACTTGAACTGTGATGTTAAAGCTGGAAGTTATCTGGTGTGCTCCACCAGGGCCTTTGCACTGTCGGGTTTTGCCTGCATTGCTCTTAGCTATGATCATGCCTTCACTTCAGGTTTTGGCTAAAAATCACCGTTAGTGAAATCTTCATTCACTGACATATACAGACTGCATAGAATCACCATTACCACTGTTATGATTTTTTTGTCCTCTCAGTGTCAGCCCCTGCACACACATTACATGAGACAGACCTTTATTGTCATATACATTCAAAGCTGTGATAATTTTGATAATTTGTTTAAACTTATTTGTATTTTCTTTAAAAAGTACTATAGTGTAAAATACTTAGGCTTACTTTGAAGATGTTTTAAAAAATTGACGCATTTTTAATCTAAAGTAGCTTTTTATACAAATGTGTTTTTTCCTTTTTTTAAAAGTTTATACATTGGGGGGGGGGTTGGTTTTTTTTTATGGTACCGGGAATCGAACTCACAGCCTTGCGCTTGTCAGGCAGGCACTGTGCTGCTGAGCTAAATCCCCAGCCTCTAAAAGTTTATACATTTTTAAAATAATTTTTTTCCTCATTCTATTTGTACCTGAAATATAATTTGGTTTTATTACTATAAATATGGCTGTAGTATAATTGTTTTAGAGTTACAGATGAAACATTTGTCATTTTTTATTTGGAAACAGGATCTCACTGTGTATGTTCAGGCAGCCTTGGACTCATTATGTAGCCCAGATTGGCCTTGAACTTACAGTGATCTTTCCTGCCTCAGCCTCAGTGCTGAGATTACAGGCATGTAACACCATGCTTGGCAGAAACAAATATTTTAAAATAGAAAATATCTTTGGGCTCAGATTAAAGTTTAGTTAGAATGTTAGTACTAAGCAGTTTTACTTGTATTTTGAGTCTTTATAAACAGTCTGTTAGGACTGAATTTAGCCATCCATAATTAGCATCTGCTTTCCTTTTGCCTGGAATATGCTCTGGACCTTTAAGGTGCAGATCATAGATCACCTGTTGATCCTTTCCAGACTTCCTGATTTTGACCCTTTGTGACACTACCTGCATTATCCCAGTATGGCACTTCATATTTTGGGTTTTATTTGTTTTTTTTCGGAGACAGGGTCTCACATGTAGTGCAGGTTGGCCTTGAACTCAGTCTTCCTGCCTCCCCTCCCAAGTGCTGGGATCACAGGCCTGCTCCACCACACTTGGCAGCACTTAGTATTTTGTTTAGATGTTTTATATGCCTTTGTAATTGTTACATTTTTATGTTGTGTTTTGCACTGTGAGTTCCTTGAGCTTGAGTCTAAGGTTTGTTTCACTAGTGCATGCTAATGATAATGCTTTGTAGTAGATTTTTATTAAATACAAGAATGAATGGGTAGTTTAATTATAAGCACATTATCCAGTTCTCTGACTTAGCTGCTTGCATTCTGTTGTCTGTATACATGACTTCTGATTCTGAGCACAAAATAATTTCTGACTTAGTATGGGCATAACTAATACTGATTTAAATATACACATCAGCTGGGCATAGTGGCGCATGCCTGTAATCCCCGCACTCTGGAGGCTGAGGCAGGAGGATTGTTGCTAGTTTGAGACCAGCCTGGGCTACAAAGTGAGCTCAAGGCCAGCCTGAACAGCATAGTGAGACCTGTCTCAAAAAGAAAAAAAAAATACACATCATTAGTCATTTAAAATACACTAAATAAACTTGCTGTGTTTTAATAAGCTCAGATTGCCAAATGTTAGAAAGTATTTAAATTTCAGCTTAAGAAATAGGAACTTGATAAGATAAAAGCAGTCTGCATTATTAATAAAGATACTAAGTCAGTTACTGATTTTTCTCCTTAATTAGATCTCATGTTTGTTTTCCTGCATTACTAGGTATTGTTTGGAAATAATTCTAAATTTATAGGAAAGTTGGAGTGAGGGTATAGATTTATTTGGTACCCTTAATTCAGGTTCCTTGATTTTTGCAGCATCTGCCTGTGACTCCCAGACTGGCCTCTCAAATTTGTGAACCTCCTGCCCCCACCTGCTGAATTGCTGGGTTCCAGGTGTGCACTAGTGTGCCTGAAAGTTTCCTTGATTATTAACACTAGTGACTAGCAGAACTAAGAGATTACTTTTCTACATTACTGTTAGCTAAATTACATACTTTCTTATGATTTTACCAGTTCTTCCAGTGCTCTCCTTTTTTCTGTCCTATGATTCAGTACACATTGCATTTAGTAGATTAGTATGTCCATTTTGAGTAAATATTTCCACAGTTAATATTTGCTCTTCTGCTTAACATTTTTATTTTTGATCGTGAGCATTTAATACCTGAAATTGATTTTTTTAAAGTGAATTACTTCATGCCTCTGATAAAGGTTATTTTCAAGATAGTTGTGTTAGGTGTCCATGTTACTATTATTTTGGACTTTTTTCCACCTTTGGGATTCCCTCTGCAGAGCCATTTGGAAGCACCTAAAGAAAAACAGACTCACAGTTTGTAACCGGTTTCCTTAAAAATGTACTTAACAGAGTACTGTTTTGTGATGTATCCTTTTGAAAGTGCCTTCTTTGGGCCCAAAATTTGGGAAACTTTATACTTTTATTTTGTCTTAGAAGTTTCCTATTCTCACTGATCTAATAAGATGGCTCACGCATTGGTAGCTATTTAGTAAACATCAGTTGAATAAAGAGAAGGTATTGTGATAGCTTTGTTATACTCAGTCTTTCTCCACTTTTGACCAAGGAAATCTTTTTCTTTGATAATGCCTATTGTGTAAATGAAGGGAAACACACCTTATAAGCCACACTAATTTTGACTAAAACACTAGTGGACATTTGATTCACTCATCTTACCATCTGATTTACTCTTTTGTTTTTTAAAATAGATTTGTGAAGAGAAGATCTCATCTTTTGAGTTTAAACAGTTGGCCCCAGCTTCTGAAGGCACTTTTGGTAAAGCATTTTTACTGGGGAAAAACCCCCACTCATTTAGAAAATTGTTTAGAATGGGCTGGTCTTCCATAAGGCTTTGTGATCTTATGTGACCACAACTTCTGAATGTTCCACAACTTGAAAGCGCCTAATATATATTTAGTGTAACAGACATCAGGTGAAGTTTGTTGAATTTATGAGCCTCCTGTTGCTATGGGAATAAATGCATTGTTTTCCCAGTAGCTTGTAGAGGGAAAATTAACAGTTATTTCTAGAGCTGGAATTGCCTTTTGGTTCATCTGAAGAAAAAAAAGACTACAAATTGGATGCAACTCTGAAATGAAAGTAGTTTTGGCCTGTGGTGAAGCTAGGAGTCCAGCCTATCCAAATTAATGAATTCATTGGTAGTTCTGGTCTGTTTAATTTTGGAAACATTAGTAAATGTTTTTGGAAATTTATTTTTAATTACTTAAATATATTATGTTGGAATTTCTTTGGAGCCTAAAAACAAAATAGAAGTATTCCTAGTGAGTAATTTTTCTTAGGTAGTGAGATCATATTGTGTTCTTTTTTTTTTTTTTTTGGTTTTTCTCCGGTACCGGGAACCGAACTCACGACCTTGCGCTTGGCAGGCAGGCGCTTTTGCCGCTGAGCTAAATCCCCAGCCCTCATATTGTGTTCTTAAAGGAACTTTTTCAAACTTTTCATCACCAAGAATGCATGTGAAAACCCAATTTCTTTCAGTGTTTTATTAATATTTCAGTGTAAATAAGTTGCAGACTTTGAGAAGAGATACCAAAAGTCTTTTGTGTAGAAGGGGATTAACCTATGTGAGGGCAAGGATCCTTTAAGGAGTCAAATTTTTCAGCTGCTTAGTTCAGTGAAAGACTTGACAGTTACACGTGGGCTGTGGAGCCTGAAACCTGGCTTAGAATATTGGCTATGCTTTGTGGCTTTGGGAAAGCCATTTAAATTAAGTGCATTTTCTTGGTAAAGCAAGATGTGGGGAGCTTAGTGAGATCATGTCTCAAAAAAGTGAAAGGTATGGGTGTAGCTCAGTGAGATAGATGACCCGGGGTCCAATCCCTGTTATTACAAAATACTAAACCCAAAGCAGCAGCAACAACATGATAATAATAGATCCTATTTATTTGGGGGATTAAGTTATATAAATTCGGGCAAGGTATTTATCACAGTGTGGCATATGATACATACCCAGTAAATGGTAGAGTATACGTGAATTTTCTGCTCTCATTTTCGTAGGGGAAGAATTCAAGACCAGTTTGAGAGTTTTAGTAGATTTGAAGCATATCTAAAAAAATCTTTGAAATTATAGAACTGAGGATATTCTGAGTAATTTTCTAATTGAATATTAAATTTTTTTTGTTGATTCCTCTTCCTGCCACAGAATATGTTGGTTCAGCTTTATTTAAAACCAGTATCGAAAATAATTCAGTAATTTAATTTGGTAGTTCATTCTCCTTTAAAGTTTGAGATGACTTTTGCTGAATAATACTCTGTAGGTATAGTTCAAGTAGGAGACTAACGATATTGGTGTAGGTAATACATAGCTCACTAAAATCAATTTGAATACATATGACTGTTTTCTTGTAATATTTCTCATTTTGTCCTAAAAAGCAACCCCACCCCCACCCCCCCGGTGTTTACATGTGCACGCACGTCTTTGCGTGCCTCTGTACTTTCTGTTTTGGTTTGTTGGATTTAATTAATAGTTTCTTTGGATTTTCCTCCTCTACTCTCACAAAATGAGTTTTTGTCTATATATTACTTTTCCGTATCATTTAAATGGTTGGATGTTAGTTCTCTTATGTGGACCTACTGTAAAAGCAGTGTTTGATTTTTAATTTATGAAAGTGTTATGGTTAAAACATACGGTGTTTATGTTTAAGCCATGTAATTTCTTTCAAATGTGAGAAATTAATGAACTATACATGGTTTTTCCCTAGAAATAATGAATTGAGTAAACATTTCATAGGGTTTCTGGTAAAATAATATTTACATGCATGATAAAGATTATTTAGTAAGGATTTGTTCCACATTCCAAATGTATATTCTAAAATCAGTGAGGATTTTTTTTAAACAAAAATTCAGAAGTGTGTTCTTAGACTCAAAACTATTAAAATAATTTGGTATTAGGTAATTTTCAGTTGATAGCTTTATTTCTTATGGTATTTTTTTTGTCTTTCTATAGGGCTGAAAGACACACAGAAGTCTTCATGGATATAGTTGATACATTTAATCATTTAATTCCTACTGAACACTTAGATGATGCCCTATTTCTAGGATCCAACCTGGAGAATGAAGTCTGTGAGGATTTTAGTGCAAGTCAAAATGTCTTAGAGGACTCGCTGAAGAACATGCTCAGCGATAAGGATCCTATGCTAGGATCTGCAAGTAACCAGTTCTGTTTGCCTGTTTTGGATAGCAATGATCCCAATTTCCAGATGCCTTGTTCAACAGGTAATTCTTACTTTTTTTTTCTTTTTTCTTTTTTCTTTTTTCTTTTTTTTTTTAGTCTGCAATTTAAAATGAAAAGAATTTTCAGCAACTTTTTTTTCTTTTTGGATGATGAGGGTAGTGAATTTAGGGTTCTTTCCTTTGAATTTAGAGCTGCTTTTCCAGGCATCAGAATTAGACTTTATACTAAATTTTCTTCGAAGGAGTGTAGAATCATATTTAAGGGTATTATAAGCTATAGGTAGAATGACCATATAATTTGTCATCCTGTATAGAATGCTTGTGAGAATTACAGCTGGTGCTATTAATAATGCTGTTGCAATAGATGTAAATAGGGACTTTCACTAGCAAAAAGGGATTTGCCTCCAAAGTTGGGACATTGCACCCCAGGCCTGCTGTCCCTTCCAGCCCTAGAGTATATTCTTTGCTATAATTTCATTTCATATTTTGTATATCTACCTCAAAACCAGAGAAAGAACTCTAGATGTGTGCTGTCCTTTTCAGTAACTACTAGCCACATGCAACGACTGTTTGTATCTTGAAGTCTAGTCCTAATTGAATGTGCTGTAAAATGCACAGTAGCATTTGAAGACTCGATATGAAAAGATTATATTAAACTATTTCATCAATTTTTAAGTTGGTTGTGTTAAAGTGATAATTTTGGATATTGTTGGTGAAATAAAATTAATTTTTCATGTTTTCTTTTTTTTAAGGCTGGGTTTCACAGTGTTGCTCATCCCAGGATTTCTGGGCTTAAGCAGCTCTCTTACTTGAGCCACCTCGGTAGCTAGGACCACAGCCCCAGGATTACTATTATTATTATTTTTTTACAAATGGCTATTTGAACATTTAAAGTAACATATGTGGCTTCCATTATATTGCTGATGGACAGCATTGTTCTAGAATCTATAGTTGAAAAGCTGGAAGAATGAGTATGGTGGCTGGGCATGTGGGTCACATCCTAATCCTGGCACTGGGAGGCTGAGGCAAGAGGATCCCAAGTTCAAGCCCTGCTTGGGCAATTTAGCAAGACTTTGTTGCAAAAAAAGGGGCAGGGCACAGAGCTCAGTGAGAAGGCCGAGTTCAGTTCTGAGTACGGAAGGAAGGAAGGGAAAAAAGAGGTTATTAACTTTCTGCTAGGCTAAACTATGTTGAATTAGAAATTACTTTGGTGTCATGTTAGTATATAGAAAAATAAATAGTTTTTCCTTTTGTAAAGCAAAGAAAATACTACTGTGAACTTTGAAGCAGTAGCTCTTGTGTAAGCTTACGTTAGATAAAGGTAAATCAGTCTCTTGTGGAGAACTAAATAAGGCTTTCTCACCATTCCCTAAGATAGTTCACAGGTTTATGTGATGTTGGTTTGTTTTTCAGTGATTGTAGACTTCTTCTAAAGTGCAGTTCAGTATGTTTTTCATTTCCTTTTAATGTTTTGTCTTTAAAGTTATGTAGTAACATTTAAAGTTTGGAAGGGGTGGTCTGCTTTTGACCTATGAATGTGTCAGATTACTCTGCCCGAAGGCCTCAACACTGAATACTAGGAATCTTCATTTTAACCACACTTGAATACTGGGGGATTTTGAATTACTTGCTAATGATGTATCTTCAAATTATTTACATCGTGTTGTTTTATCGCATAGGCTTACATTGTTCTTATATTTTAAATGTTCTAAAGCTTTAAAATTTTTTTTATGTATATGTTGGTTTAAGTTTTTTACTTTGGTTCTTGCGTCAGTACAGCAGTTCTAATTATCTTTATATTGTTACTGTTGACACTGTAGACAGTGTTTGGTTATATGCACACTGTTTACCAGTTTAGTCTGAGGCCAGGCTGAACACTGATTTAATATTTCTACAGTTCCCTTCAAAGATGTTGTATACGAGCTGGAATTGGAATTGGCAGTTATATCATCCTGTGTGACTTTTTTTACTTACGAAATTTCTACTCTCTAGTCATACTACTATTCTTATTGGTGTCCTCTTTTTTAAAAATTGATTTCTGTTAAAAAGTTTTTATTGCTGTGGAAAGTATTCAGTTTTGGTGAACATTTCTTTTCCTATTAAAACACTTAAAACACCCTCATTAAAGTATTTAAATTTTTTGAGGCTTAATACTTGTTCATGATTGTGCTATCTTTTAAAGTTTGACTTGAGTAGCATTAGTTTTTGAATTTTCTTAACATTTGTTTGCTATAATTATCTTCTATTCTGTAACAAAACTGTTCATGTATATGTAGTGTGTATGTTTTTAAGATTAAAGTCAGAAAATTACAAGGGGAAGCTTACGGTGATGGTAAAACTTCAGTTCAGAAATACTAAACTTTCTCTGTGCTATTAGGCAGGGGATTTATGTTAATTTGTTGAAAGTTCTTTTTGCCCTTTGGGATATTTGGGTCAACAGAAGGCCTACACGTTTTCTTTTCTTTTTTTCTTTTTTTCTTTTTTTTTTCCCTCTTTTTTGAGACAAGGTCTTAGCATGCAGTTCATGCTGGCCTTGAGCTCACTTTGTACCCTGGACTGGCCTGGAACTCACAAAGATCCTCTTGCCTCAGCCTCCTGAGTGCTGGGATTACAGGTGTGCGCCACCACGTCTGGCCAACCTGCACATTTTCTAAGGATGGCAAAATAGAAAACGTTTTGGAAAATTTTTTTTAACTTTTGGTTTTGAAATACCAGATTTAGGAGAGAGTTTCAAAGAAGAAATTTTATTGTAACCATTAATAAAAACACTGTTTGGACAGTAACTTTTTTTTTTTTGAGATGAGGTCTCTCAGTGTAGTTTAGGCTGGTCTTGAATTGACTATGTAGCCCAGGCTGGCCTCGAATTCACAGCAGTCTTCCTACCTCAGCCTCCAGAGTACTGGGATTACAGGCATGAGCCACCTGCCTGGCCAACAAGAGCTTTTTAGCTATTTATAAATTACTTGAGCTTTTTGTTACAAAGTAAAAATAACATTGTTAAATAACATTGTTCTTACCTGGTTGTTTCTACCTGAATCTGTAGATTTTTACTGATTTCCTTGACTAGAGGAGCCAAGTAGGGAAATGATCCTATTCGTATTTCTCAGGACAGGATGAGCTGTAGACTGTGGTTATGTTGTAACTGATTTTTGCAGTGCTGTAAAATTAGCAAACCCATAGCAGCTGTGTTTTATTTTCTGTTACACTGAACTAGATTGCTTTTTGTAATTGTTAAAATGCCAATTTCTTGTTCTTGTAGTTGAATGGTAGCATTATATTTCATTGTCTCCAGAAGTCATAACAGTAGTTTTAAAAATTATAAACATAGGAAACAAAATATTGCTATCAGCACTGTGAGATGTGCAGAAAGTTGGGATGCTTAATGATTTTGAGAGAGCAGCCAGGAGAGCCCTGATCCTCTTTTGACTCTGTATTATTTTCCAGAATGCTTTTAACTGTGTAAAGTATTACTAGTATTATTGCAGTATTTGCATATAGTTTTTAGATGTGCTGCCCAGTAATACATTTTTAAAAAAGATTTCACTGAGGAAACACATGAATATTGGGTTTGAGATATTTGACCTTCGGTGTTGTTGTTCTTTGTATTTTTATAGCAGGGGTTGGGCCCAGGGACTTCTCACTGAGCTACATCCCCAGCCCCTTTTTAGGTTTTTGTTTTTTAAAATTTTGAGATAGCCTGTTTCCAGCTGGTCTTGAGCTTGGGATGCTCTTGCCTCAGCTTCCCAGAGTAGTGAGAGTACTAGATAGGCATGTGCCACCTAGAAATCATTTCTTTATATGGTATGTTGAAATTTTTATGGCTATCATTTGATTTATTTTTACTATGTAGAGTAACACTGCCTTGTGACACATCCTGTATATATGTGTATTGAGAGCAACCTTTTACTCAATGCTTATAGTTACTGAACTTTTTAAATGAAACTAAGTTGCCCCTTTCTGCTGTGTCATGGCTTGCGGAGTTACCATCAAAGTTGTCATTCACTAAGTTAAAAACAACCCTCATATAGCCTGGTTTTTAGGGATTAAGCAAATTAAAAAGATCATTGAACTCTTGGAGGCACCCTGAATGTTTACTAAGAGTTGATTCATACTTAAATGTTGCTGCAAGTGTAAAGGAAAATAGGTGCTAACGTGTGATAAGTGTTTTGCTGTCTTTAAAAAAAGAATTTTAGCTTGTGCTGCTTTCCTTCTGAGCAAAGTATGGTAATACGTGTTGATTGATTTCACAACTTTCTTAGCAGTTGTGTAATTTAATCCCTTTTTTTGGCACACAAAGTTTTAGTGACATACATACTATGGGGTGCAGTGTGATAATTTGGTATTTGTATACAGTGTGTAATAATCAGGGTAATTAGCATTTCAAATCTCTTCACTTAGTTTGTGTTGGGAGACTTGGAATTTTCGGTTTCTTACATGTAATAAATCGTTATAAACTGTAGCAACTCCACTGTGCTGTAGGACATTAGAACTTAGTGCTTCTCATCTGTGTTTTGGTATCTGCTATTCAATGTCCCTCGACCTTACATCCCCTTTACCTTTCCTGGCCTTCAGAGACCACGATTCACTCTCCATTCGTAGTGTCCACATGACCAAGAATGCCCAGTTTGTCCTTCTTGGGTACATAGAGTTTTAATTTTGAATCATGACTGTAGTTTGGAGCTGCCTCATCGTAGAGTCTGAATTTGACTGTAACACTGGACAAATATATTGCATTTGTTCTGGCAAAATGACTTGTGAGCTGATGTGTCATTGAGATTAATTAAGAAAACGTTTACAAGTTTGATAGCTTCATGCTTCTTTTTGGATGTTTTCGATTGGATAATATTTTGAAACTAAGCTTGGTAATTATTCTCTGGTCCAGTAAAATCCAGTTTTCAGTACTTCTTTGTACATTCTCTTGGGGTGTGTAGGACTTGTGTAAATTAATTACACTGTGGACCCAACTATATATAAAAATTTATTATTTGCACTGGAACTTTCCTTTTTTATTTATTCTGAATACTAATTGTTAGTGTTTTAAA